TCACCTTCGGCACGCTCCGGTGAGAAATCAATCTTCCCCTTTTGCGCAGAGAAACGTCTGGAATGTGCTGCTAGCTAGTGGACAGCCAATCGGGATTTCTGTTTGTTCATCACTCATCCGGCAGATTTTGATGTAGTAATAACATTTAGCGTTTCGAATTGGTGGTGAGTGAGATCGAAACAAGGGGTAAATTTCTGATTTTTTTTTTCGTGGTGCCGTGCCGTGCGTGCAGGGACTGCCGGTTCCTGTGCCTGTTCCGGTTCAAGCTGTGGTGGATGACGCAGCGGATGGGCGTCTCCGGCCGCGACGTCCCTCTCGAGACGCAGTTCATGCTCATCGAGGTCCCTCCTGCCACCGACGGCGATGCCGGCGACGACGCCCCTGCGTACTTGGTGATGCTTCCGCTGCTGGAGGGGCAGTTCCGGGCGGCGCTGCAGGGGAACGACCGCGACGAGCTGCAGATCTGCGTCGAGAGCGGTGACAAAGCGGTGCAGACGGAGCAGGGCGCGCACATGGTGTACCTCCACGCCGGCGACAACCCCTTCGACACCGTCACCGCCGCCGTCAAGGCGGTGGAGAGGCACCTGCAGACGTTCCACACCCGCGACAGGAAGAAGCTGCCGTCGTTCCTCGACTGGTTCGGATGGTGCACCTGGGACGCCTTCTACACCGACGTCACCGCCGACGGCGTCAAGCACGGCCTCCAGAGGTAAGGATTCTGCTCTGCTCTTGTGTGTCAGTGACTCCGTGCCAGCGTTCCGTACTAACAGAGCAGCAACCCTCCCTCTGCTCTTGCAGCCTGTCCAAGGGCGGCGCGCCGCCCCGGTTCCTCATCATCGACGACGGCTGGCAGCAGATCGCCTCCGACAACAAGCCCGACCCCAACGTCGCCGTCCAGGAGGGCGCGCAGTACGTGCATTGCATTTGCACCCCACCGATCACATTTCTCTGATCAATCATGGCCGCCGGACAGCCGCCGCGGTTTCCTGACGTTCGCTCACCAAAACTGATTTGCTTGCTTCCAGATTCGCCAGCCGGCTGACGGGGATCAAGGAGAGCACCAAGTTCCAGACCAAGCCCGACGGCGACGGCGACGGCGGGCTGAAGCGGCTGGTGTCCGAGACCAAGGACGTGCACGGCGTGAAGCAGGTGTACGTGTGGCACGCGATGGCCGGGTACTGGGGCGGCGTGACGCCGTCGGCAGGGACGGCGATGGAGCGGTACGAGCCGGCGCTGGCGTACCCCGTGCAGTCCCCGGGCGTGACGGGCAACCAGCCGGACATCGTCATGGACTCGCTGTCCGTCCTCGGGCTGGGCCTGGTGCACCCGCGCCGGGCGCGGGACTTCTACGGCGAGCTCCACGCGTACCTCGCCTCCTGCGGCGTGGACGGCGTCAAGGTGGACGTGCAGAACATCATCGAGACGCTCGGCGCGGGACACGGCGGCCGCGTCGCGCTCACCCGCGCCTACCACCGCGCGCTCGAGGCCTCCGTGGCGCGCAGCTTCCCGGACAACGGCTGCATCTCCTGCATGTGCCACAACACCGACATGCTCTACAGCGCCAGGCAGACCGCCGTGGTGCGCGCCTCCGACGACTTCTACCCGCGCGACCCGGCGTCGCACACCGTCCACGTCGCCTCCGTCGCCTACAACACCGTCTTCCTCGGCGAGTTCATGCAGCCCGACTGGGACATGTTCCATGTGAGTAGACTGCTTTGCTTGGTTGTTCTTTTGGTCGCCGTGTCGAGGCATCCATTGATCGATTCTATTCGTTGCCAGAGCTTGCACCCGGCGGCGGAGTACCACGGCGCGGCGAGGGCCATCGGCGGCTGCCCGATATATGTCAGCGACAAGCCGGGGAACCACAACTTCGAGCTGCTCAGGAAGCTCGTGCTCCCCGACGGCTCCGTGCTCCGCGCGCAGCTCCACGGCCGGCCCACACGCGACTGCCTCTTCTCCGACCCGGCGCGCGACGGCGCAAGGTGACCAGTCCTCCGATTGAAATTCCAATTCCAAAAGATTTTCGATCAATTTTAAACCTTTGGCGGTGCTGATTCTTTTTTTTCTTCCATTTCTCTGCTCTGCAGCCTGCTCAAGATCTGGAACGTGAACAAGTGCGGCGGCGTGGTGGGCGTGTTCAACTGCCAGGGCGCCGGGTGGTGCCGCGTGACCAAGCGCACGCGCGTGCACGACGCGGCGCCGGGCACGCTGACCGGCACCGTGCGCGCCGACGACGTCGACGCCATAGCTCGCGTCGCCGGCGCCGGCGACGACGGCGACGGTGAGTGGGACGGCGAGGCCGTGGTGTACGCGCACCGCGCTCGGGAGCTGGTGCGGCTGCCCCGGGGCGCCGCGCTGCCCGTGACGCTGGGCCCGCTCCAGTACGAGGTGTTCCACGTCTGCCCGCTCCGCGCCGCCGCGCCGGGGGTGGCGTTCGCGCCCGTCGGGCTGCTCGACATGTTCAACGCCGGGGGCGCCGTCGAGGAGTGCGCCGTGGACGGGAAGGCCGTGGTGGCGCTCAGGGTGCGCGGGTGCGGGCGGTTCGGCGCGTACTGCTCGCGGGAGCCGGCGAGGTGCCTGCTGGACTCGGCGGAAGGGGAGTTCGGCTACGACGCCGACACCGGCCTCGTGACCGTTGACCTGCCCGTGCCGGAGCAGGAGATGTACCGGTGGACGCTGGAGATTGTGGTCTAAAGGTCGTGACGCGCGTGCTCCGACGCCGGCGCTTAGGGTGTGTTTGGTTCGAGGACAAGGGTGGATGTTAGTCTTCGCGGCTGAGCCATTCTGAGCCACACGACCATTATTGCCATTTGCGATGTGCACGAGAGATGGGGAGAACGCGTGCGATTGTGGTGTCTCGTTGTATAATTGGTATGGAGAGAGTATGCTTTGCTATGTCCGTATCTGTATACCCTGTGTGCTCTGAATGTTGTATGATACTATTACTGGACAATAAAAGATGGTGCTCCTTCAGTATGAATCTCTTCTCTAAACATACATGCCACATTACCACTTGTTCATTTTCTGCATGGATGATTCGAAATCACAGCATTTTGGGCATAGTTTGCTCTACCATAGTCTCTGCTTATTGTTAAGTTAGAATACTGAGATAATGTTGCTGAACAGCTTAGCTTTCGGGGTTTGATGATCACAATATAAAACTGTGCACATCTCTGGTCAAACAGGGGCCGGTTACACATGAGAGAATTGGCAGCTAATGGTAATTAGCAGATGCTGAGAGCAACCAAGAGCTTCTCTGTGTCCTTTCTTATCCATAGGAACAGAGATTATAGTGACCTTTAGCTGCTGCACTCCCAGCCCTCTTCAGCCACTGCTCAGCTCCAGAAATATCCGTCGGAGCAGACGTCCGCGATGGGATCAGAAACTATCTAGCTCCCAGGCTCTCCAATGTCGCATCCTTTGAACTGGAAGCCCTTGACAACATACTGCTGCAGATTCAGCTCACGGGTTCAGAGGACATCAGGACCAGCACTTTTGAGAAAGGGCACCACAATCTAAACAGTGCCAAGATCTACAGAACCTCCACATCAGATGGCCGGAAGTTGCCGGCGTTCAAATTTGTATGGAGCAGTCGTGCCCCACCAAAAGTCAGGTTCTTCGGGTGGCTATTGCTGCACGATCGCCTTCAGTGCCGGTCAAACCTGACCAAGAAGCACATGGCTGATAAGCCATGGCTGAAAGTACCGTTGACTGATTTGTTGTGAAAGAAAAATACTATTCGTTGGTTGAAAAAGTATAGCTTATAAGCCAAGCGAACAAGTTTGATTCGATGAAGATATATGCGCTGTCGGCCATGGAGACTCTGAAACCGGTACCCACTTGCTACGTGACTGCCCCTTTGCGAAGGAATTCTGGAGGGTACTCGGTTGGAACACTGCCGACATGCCGGATGCTACTCATCTCTGGGAAATCAAGCGGCCGGCTCACGTTCCCCGACATCTGTTCTCCACCTTCGTCCTCCTATGCTGCTGGCATTTCTGGAAGCACAGAAACGCCGTGGTTTTCAGGAACGAGCAGCCGAGCCTTGCTCGCCTTATGGCTGCGTGCAAGGAAGACTGCGAGCTCTGGCTCCATCGCTTCCCCATCAGGCTTCGGCCACTGGCAAACTGTTGGGGCAATTTGTTCTCTATGTAATAGCCGCTCCCTTTCTAGCCTTTTATTCGCTCTAGCCAATGGCCTTGTACCAAAAACTTAACGGAGCACGCCTCCGACCATTTCCCGCCTAGCTCGGAATCAATGGAAATCATTCAGGTGGGGACTCTCATCCCCCCGGTGCTTGACTCAAAAATATTCTTTAATTAGATATTCAAATATTACAATCTTATATTCTAGATTTCTCGCTAGCAAAGGTAAAAAGCAAAATTGACTCTATAGACTATAGTGCGCAAAAGATATATAGAAAGATTATTAAAGGATGAATAAAAAAATAGACAACACTTATTCCAATGGCTATCCAAATGATGATTTATCGTGTGAGTTTAGCATTATGAACTGCAGTTTCAAGGGCTGTACAGCATGACACAAGATAGGGAGAGAAATGCACCCCCTACCCGAGAATAGGTTAGATAGCATTCCAAATTTCGAATTTTGAACATAAAGCGGCTTGTTTACTGCGGTCTTCAAGCATTCCAAATTTCGAACAAGTGCAGAAATATTTTAAGCACAAGCTTAGAAGTCCACATCCAGGGCCAGAAATCAGAACTGCACAAGAGTGCCAAATGGTTGGGGGTGAAGTGCTTTCAAAATCACTACATGCTTCGTCATCATTTCACTGCTATAGACTGTAAACGTTTTCACAAGTGATGATCAGAAAGGATCCAAGAAAAAGAGGGGTGGATCGAACATCCTAGCACCGGCAAATTTCTCATGAGTGCGGTCACGGTCGTCAAATGTTATCTAAGTTGGCACTACAAAAATATGGTTCCATAAAATTGCACCGGGTAACACTTGGCTTATAGCACACATTCAGTGCCACAGATCTAGGTCGCATCAGTCTCCAGAAACTTGTGCGCCGATGAATACTTTATTTGTGGTACAGGTACACAAGTGAGAATATGAAGAAAGCACCCATCTGCAACAAGGACGAAATGAAGAGGTGATACATTGTGCTAATCCAGAACTTACATGCACAGTACATGTGGATTGAAGTGGAAAATGAACTTATTTCCCTCTCAATAGCTCCCAATGCATATGGATTGGAGGGGATTATCCTCTATTCAAACTAGGCAGTAAGGAAAATAAGGCTAGATAGTTAATACAGTATGCAAGATGCAACCTATGATACAGTCTACGCAAGTGAATTTAATGATAAAGGTCATATAGAGGTGAAGCTGTAAAAGGTGCAAAAACAAATTTCATTCTGTCTACTGAATAGCAAATGGAATCAGATCTTACTGTTGAAAATGAGGCAGTGTAGTATGGGTAAGCTGATGTTATGAATCTCTCATACTCATTATGCCTGTAAGGGCGTACTGGAATCTGCAGCAGACAAAAACAGATTATCGAATGTGAAAAGTCACCAAAAATTAACTATACAAGTGGATGTGGTTTGACTAAAGTAATCATGCTACTGTACAAACTCCAAAGAATCATGTCATGAGACTAACCTGCTTTGTAAAAGACAGACCAGTATATCCCAATCTTTGGTACTCAACTTTGAACTGGAAAACTCCATAAACATCAGGAACTTTGAAGGATGTTGAATATAAACCCTACATTGGGAGAACATGATAGTTTAGCCACAGCAATCCATCAATCTCACAATATATTTTAATACAACACAGGTTATCGTAATAGTGCGCCACCTTGTTGTCAGTCGACATAGTTTTCAGAACATAAGGACTCATCATAAAAAATTGAAGTTGCACATCATCAGCAACATATGGCTTCCAGCTTGTTCCAGACCATTCATAGATCTCAACAGAGTATTCCTTGATGGGGAAATTTAAATTAGCACATTTAACTTGTCACAGCTCAACAGCAAGTACACATCAAGGCAAAAGAATTACCAGGTCATCATTTATGCGGTACATGCCTGGTTCATTGGTCTCCCCAACCTTGTGATGCTTAACATTAACAGCCTGTGAATTTGAACGTGACAAAGGTTACGCCATCCCGTTTATTTGAAAAACATCAATCCCCTAAACAAAATTACAAAGGAAAATAAGGCAATATGACCTTTAGATGCCCCCTCTCATGGAAAACCCATTTGCTTGTCTCGGTCACAAATTGCTCATTTCCAGCCCTCTCATATCTGTACAATAGCATGTAATAAATGACTTCCAGAAATATGTAAGAGTAATAATATGAGAGGTTATGTTCTGTTCCAGGATATGCGGTACTATAATTTGCAAATATCCAATAATTAGCAATATGAAACTTATTTGCAATCCTGCGCACAGAAGTATAACATGCCATCATCCAATATCTCATGTTATGGTTTCCTCCTTTATCAAGTGGTGCTCTGTTGCCTTGTCAAGAGTTAATTACAAGATAAAAACTTCAAATTTGGCATTAGGGTAGGTCATATAGAACTTAGAAAGGCGGATTTTTTCTAACAATCAGATGAGGCTTGCCTACGCAAGGATTGAAGGCATTAACAGAAATAGCAGCCAAAAGATCTTGATATTTTCTAGCTGAAATCTATAGTCTATTAATCTCAGCAAAAGCTTCAAAGGTAAGCTAACCTCGTTTTGCTACCAGCCTTTTGAACACCAGACTTCAGGAACCTGAATAAATGGAACAACATAAGCACTTTATGGAAAACCAGGGGAAACTACTTCATGTATATATGATAGCATACCGGTTGCTAAACAGATCGAGTGATCCAGATATCAGCACCCGGGCATTATTTCTTGCCTGCAAGAAGACATAAAACTTATCAGAGAGATTGAATGGCAATATACAACTGGTAATACATGGATTCTGGCAAGCCAATCATACATTTAATGAATACACAACAATTAACAATGGAATGACTAGCCCACTAATAATAATAAGAAAGTAAAAACAAATTTAATTACCTGCATAACCGAAACCAATGATATAGCTGACCCAGTGAGCGATGGAGGAGACGACAACTTAGTCTTTGGGTTAGCTGAATATGCTGATGGAGAGGCGGATAGGACTTTCAGAACCTAGCAATGCCCAAATACAGGGGAGAATGGGGGATTATAGGGAAAAAAAACATAAAAGGTACATATTTTACAGCAATAAAACAGAGTTATGCAACTAATAGTTGGACATGCAAATACCACTGTTCAGAATTCAAAGTACGTACCAAACTGTTTGATGGATTAGCCATGTGTCCAATTCCTCGAAACAATACAGGAGCCTAGAAATATTGAGAAAAATATTTAAAACAAAAATTTACATTTATAAGAACTGCCAAAAATGAAAAAGGAAGTGCTAGCCAAAAGCACTTGGCAAGTTTACACCATATCCTCATGAACACCAATGTTAACAAATCGCATTATAGCTAAGTCTACTCTAGTCAGTAATGAACTGCAGGTATATAAGTAGCTAATTCTTAATTGGAACAGACAGATTTTAGGATATAAGTATCTTAGCTAATACTAGCAATTGGATAAGCATGGAAAAACTCAGTACAGCAACCAAGACTGAATATAAACATGGCACAAAATTATGGAACAGCAAATTGAAGACATAATGTATGGGCACACTTTTACTGAAAATCTAGGCAGTATGACCAACACCCAACAAGATTAGGTCAAGATTATCGTTATTGTAATGTTGCGATAGCAAAGATGAATAAAAGGCCTGCTAACTATGAATGCTTAGTATATGAAATTATGGATACCATGAAGCCCCACGCACAAAACAGAGCTGTCTATTGATAAATTTAGAATACGAGTGCAGACAGGTTCAATGTCAACTCGGTCTAATCCAATGAACATAAAAATGTGTAAAATGTCGGAAGGGTTATGAAGATTCTTAGCATCACTTCTAACCTCAATCTTTTTAGACCCCAGTATCACATCAGACTGGATAAGATCATCACCAGCAATCAAGGTGTGATCACCTTCAACATCCGTGACGGCATAGTTAATGTGGTCAATAACCATTGCCTCTGGATCCTGAAATCATCAAGACACAAACTGTTGGCTTGCTGAGGTCAACGAAAATGTTAAGATAGGAAGATGCGAGCCCACAGGAATTGCTTGCCTCATCAAAATCAACCCCGCACTCTGTTGCAATGCCACGAATAAGATCAGAGGCGGAGGAATCTGCCGCCAGGATCATGTCATGCCCAGCATCGATAAATTCGAGGACTGCGTTCTGGTCCACTGATCCACCAAAACCTGCCATGGAATAAAGACTGGCTTTAGAAACAAATAGGGTTGAATCAAGTACTATACCATCATGGGCAGAGATCAAGGCCCATCCAGTAGTTTACTTCAAACAAGAGCGGTAATAATCTCTAGTGAATCGCGACAGGCAACAATTGATACCCCTGAGATCCACGGCTTTCAACTAGAACTAACTGACTACGGTCAATTTTCAGGTGAGCCTTATTGGATGAATCCTCCGGTAACGGGAAATTCTATTCCGAAATCCCGAATTTGCCAATAGCCGCAACAGATCACAGAACACCACCACTCCACGAGCAATCGAGCACGGACCAGATCAGATAAGCAGTCAGACTCCGCACCCGAATCATCTCTATCCCCGTCGAATCTATCACCAGAACACTCCAGCAACACAGATCGGATCTCCGAGAGGCGAGGAAGGAAAAGGAGCAATTACGTGGGGTGGAGGGGGCGAAAAGCACGAGGCCGTCGTAGAGGTACTGGCCGTAGCGGTGGAGCGAGAGCTTGGGGTCGTCGGCGAGGCGGAAGTCGAGATCGAACCCGCGCGCCTGGAGCGAGCCGAAGAAGGCCGAGTGCGACGACCGCACGGCCAGGTCGTCCAGGAGGACGAGCAGCCGCCGCCCGCGGGGCCCCTCTTCGGCGCCCTCAGCTGCCGCGAGCGCGAGGAGAGACGCGAAGGCGGCGGCGAGGAGGAGGAGGAGGGCGTGGCGCCGCGTCGCCATTGCTGCTGCGCAGATCTCGTGGGGTGGGGGGTTTTGGGTTTGGAGTGGCGCAGCAGCCAGCAGCGACGGAGACGACGACGACTCGGAGAGAGGAGCTATAGGCGTGGCAAGGTGGAGAAGAAGGGAACCGTCTGGGCCGTCCGATTGGAGATCGAATGGCCCGGAGCCCCGGATCGAGTTCGAGCTTTGTTTGCTGCGGGAGGCGGTCCCACGTGAGACAGTTAGCATTTCCTCCTTTATTTCTTTGCAGAATTTCCTTCCATATAGTTTTAACTTTTATTTTATATATATTAATAAAAGTGAGTATTGTCGGGAATCAATACTAGGATACTCGAAGAGGAGGAGCTAATAACCATCAACATTGATTCATCCGAGCAGTCAAGGGCGCGACTACAACTCCAACCGACTCCCAGGTGCGTAAGCTCCGTCTCGCCCGACCCTTGGGTTTGCGCTCCGCCTCGCCCAACCTCTGAGGACGGGCTCCGCCTCGCCCAACCCTTGGGTTTGCGCTCCGCCTCGCCTGGCATCTGGGGGCGGGCTCCGCCTCGCCTGACCCTAAGGCTTGGGGATCCGTCTCGCTCGATGGAGACCCATACCGCTGCCAACCACTCCAGGTTCAAGTGAATGGGCCTGGGTCAAAGCTCTGACACCAGGGAGGTGATCGGCACGCCCCGATATAACCCATGGCCGTGACGACCATACCTGGGGATTCACATCGGGAACAGCGTCGGGCGTACCCGTGCTGTTCTGCCTAACCCTCGTACGAGCACTGGGAGGCGCGTCAATTCACCACGACGTTCGCTAGGACGGAGTGGAGCACCACGACCGGGAGACGACACCTGCGCATGGCACCAGTGACGGACAGGGCCGCGACATGGAGCTGTCCCTGTTGACGTCTACAGGGTCGACGAGACCCGCGTGAAGCAAAAGAGGGACCCGGCGATCCTAGAGGACTTCTTCTCCTTCTCATTCTCCTCTTTTCCCTCCACTGTAACCCGTGCTTTCTCTTGGCCTATAAAAGGTAAAGCAGAGCGTCCCATGAAGGGGACTCGACCCATCGAACCCCGAACCGATCAGAACACCCAAGCACACAGCCGGGAAGCGACCGAGCTCTCGGCACCCGTTCGTTCCTCTCACTAGAGACTTGGGACATGTCTCTCTCTCGACCGTTTGTAATCCCTACTACGAACTTTCAGTGCTAGTAACACGAGCAGCAGCAACGAACTGGACGTAGGGACATTCTGCCCAAACCAGTATAAACCTCGTGTCCTCTTAGCACACCATCCGAGCCAGACGCACAATATTAGAAATTTACTTCGGTGGCAACTCGAAACACCGACAGGTATGTTTCCCCAAAACTGATAACTGATGAAACCAAACTGCTAGCTGCGCACTCACTGCTTTCATAACCAACAGAAGCAAAATCTCCAGAGATTAAAAAAAATACACAGAAAGATTTTCCCGCAATAAGAATCTAGAAAGATAACTCATCAGTGAAACATTATTAGTGATCTGTTCAACTACCAAACCAACTACATGTAACATCAACAATTCAGCATGGTTCGGGTCATATCATTTGCTTCTCTTTGTGTTCTCTGGTCAGACAGATATAGTGCAGGAAGCCATAGAAAAAATGGCTTGCTGGATGGGTAAGGGTAATCGGCACAAAACGGAAGGTCCTCTTATGATCTTCAAATCAGCTAGAACAAACGTTGCTCCACACTTCTCCGTGGCACAATTGCCAGAATTTCAATCAGAAACTCAGAATGGCCCAGGACGGTATGACCAGATGTTCTGAATGCTGATCAAGGCAGTATCTTCAGATCATCACACAAGCTCCCGCTCAGGATGCCGAGAGGTTCTGAATGGTGATCAAGGCAGAGCTTTTCATATCATCACACTAGCTCCTGCTCCTTGAAGCTGGTTAATTTCGCGTTCTCTCTGTCGTGCTTGAACACAAGGTACAAGGGGCTGTAGAACAGGACACAGACGCCGAAAGGCACGATCATCATGGATGGTCAGCAGCCCTCTTGAGAGCGCATACGCCCCTTCCGCAAGGTTCACAGTCTTGGTATCGTAGCCATAAATCTTCTCGGTGACTAGGCCCACAGCGGGGGCAGCCAGCGAGGCGAATGAGCCCTCGAATGCACGGTCGAAGGCATAGATCATGGTGCGGTGCTTGGGAGGGACCACCTCAGCGAACATAGGGTTGTTTGCCGAGGTGGCGCACCAGCTTATCGTGATGCCCATGAAGAAAAGCGTGACCGCGAAGGCGTACCAGTAGTCAACTGACTGGGGGATGACTGTGAGGAGGATCGAAGAAAACGGGATGCCCATGAAGGCACTGAACTGGGCGCACATGACACGTGCCGAATCTGGAAAGTACTTTGACAGGTGGTCTGCTATCACACTCCAAGAAATGCTCCGCTGGCACACCCGATGGCGAAGAGGCTGTTCAGTGCTGCCGAGCTTTTATTGTCAAAACCTAAAGAGTGTTCAAGGATGTTAGGCTTCAATTTTAAGAGCGTTGTTATCAGATTTTTTAGAAGTATATATATCAATATATGGTTGCTATCCTACCAATGAGTTCAAACCACATTGTGAAGAAAACTATAGCAGTCCACGGCAATGAGCCAATGATCCCTTGCAGGACAATGATCTGAAATGTCTTCACTTTCATAACATATCTTGTTGCCACCCAAGAATCCCTCCAGATAGAAGGCGGAGGAAGAACATCTTTGCTTGATAAATGCAACCTGGAAGACAAGGATAAAGTTCAAATTCAATTATAGCACCAGTCCAGATCCCATGTTGATTCGGCTACAATGCAGAAACCTACTAGAAGCGCGCTCGAATAACATAAGAGTTCCTAAATGTGGTTTTGCCACACAAGAAATGCAAAAATAGTTCAGACTGAAAAGGACAAAGTAATGAAACATACTGAAAACATGCAACCCTGGTTTAATTCCTACAACAAAATGAAGAATGTTTAATGGAATAGCACACTCTTGTACGTTCAAGAAAAAAAATGAAGCATCATGATGAGATTCTATCTGGCAGAATCAGAATCTTTTTTATATGCATCAAAACATGATCTGGTATGACACCCAATTACAAGCTATGTGAGTTCCTTTTTCCCCCCGCGAGATGGCTATGTGAGTTCTATTTCGCTAGTAGTATTCATTAATGAACCCCTGCAGCTAGGTGAGATGAAAAGAATGGCACACCTCTCATAGTCGTCTTCGTCAAGAAGGCGATTGCCAGGTATTCTTCTTGGATCAGTTGCATATAAGTACACAAGAATTCCAATTATCAAGCTGACAGTGCGACCATCATAAATGCAACACGTCATCCTGGGAATCCCCAATAGTCCTTTCCAGCCATGATTGTTGCCAAAATACTACCACCTATACCACCTACAGCACCAATGAGGCTTAACAAACCGAATCCTGCACCACGTGTTTTAGCTATCAGCGATGAACGACTGAAGCGCTGGTATTACAATGGCAAGCCCAAGGCCATTTACAGCTCTCCAGAATGCAACCTGCCTAAAATGCTGGCTAACACCGGCAGTTCCTGTTGATAAGGCCCAGAAAACAGTCCCTATTGCAAGCACTGTTGGCCGATCATAGTGCAGAGCAAGGATACCTGCCAAGGGAGATGCTATTGACTTCAGAAAGTTCATTGCAAAGGTGAGGTATCCCAGATCAGTAGGACCAGCATTGAAGGATGCACTGACTTCCTTGTAAACTGCTGGAAGGAGATTCTCATCAGCACGCTCCATAATTGAAGCCAGATTGATGAGGATGAAAGATACAGAGAAACCAAGTATCTTCTTTGATCTGCAAGAAAAAGAAAAGAAAAATACCAGGGTTATGCTAGATAATGGAACAGTAAATTATCTAGTACCTGAAACATCCTCAATTTTTCGCGAAGGGAAAATCCGCAGAATGAATTATAATATGATGAAATCGATAGTTGATTCCATCATATTATCATATATCAGTCAATATCACAGTCATACATCGTAAGATTATAAGAATACAAGATATTACATCACTGGGGAACACACCTATTACAGAGTTAATCTAGCGGAAGACTATCGAGTGAAGGCTTTCCCTTTACGGGTCGTCATCAGAGTTGGCGTAGTGCAGCGTAGATTCCATCTCCGAACCAAACTTGAGCGTAGGCACGAGACCTCCTAATCCTTCTATAGTCAGCATCTCTGAGATGCAGGAAATCAAGACACCGCCAGATGTGTGCGAGGCCATGGTCGACACCGATGAGCTTTAGTGGAAAAGATAAAACAAGAGGATCTGGCGATCCTAACATTTGGTATGGTTTACATCCTTAGCGCATGAGAAGTAAGTAACAGATAGTAATGTAATAATAATGTCCAGATTTTAACACATTCCCACCACACATCCACCTCCATCCATATCCATCCACCAACCATCCATCCCAAATCATCTCCACTCCACCACACCTTATCTCATCTCACACACTCAGTCGACGGGCCAACTCCCTCTCGGCCTTGTCTCAACGGCCCGCAGACCCCAAGGCTCACGACCAATCGAAAATACCCCAAACCCCGGAGGGAGAATAGAAGGACTCATCTCCTATCTAGTTTAAGCGAAACCCAGGGAAAGGTCCATAGCCGACAAGTCGGCATATGTATCGATCGATCAACCATACACTCTGCAGAGAGTTTCACATACCCACAAGATAGCCATCCTCGGCGGTGCCCGCCTAGGCGATTCCGCGCTTGCATAGCCTAGCCTAAACGATGCCACCCTACCTCTCAACCCTAGAACATCCCAAGTCTAGTCTGGGATGGCTGACTCAGGAGTCATAGACAGAGCTGTGGCCCACCGGATGTCAAGAGCCGGTCCACAAGGCCTCCTGAAGTCTCGGAAGGGTGGGGGAAAACCCGCACCCCATACCTCCTTGCACACGTTCGCCTAGCAGTAGTGGCATCGCTCTACCAAGTAGTCCGACCGTCCCGCACCATATAGGGCGAGTGGGATGTAAAGGATTCCCGGTGAATCTGAGTACTAGTAAGTCCTTAGGGGTGACCAAGCCAGAATGTCTTCATTAGGGTTTCCATTTACCGTGCCACCACAGCACCTCCACCCCGAGCTCCACCTCTCCGAGGTTTACACCCAAGGCCACCTCCAATTACCATTTACCCGCCACAGGTATTCCATATCCAAGTGCCCAGGTAGCACCACATGGCAAGACTCGCCCCAGGCTCGTCGTTATTCCAGCTCGGTTGACACAACCCTCACTCTCCACGCAACCAAGACACACGCAGCACGCTCACACACCACCAAGTCCGACACCCCTAGCCAAACCATTCCCAGGTTGTTCACCACCAGCATCACATCCCCCGACATAATGCGAAGTGGAGTTAATTAATAAGTATAGTGGTGTAATTTGCAAGCTAGCAGGCAAGTAAGCATATATAAGCGAGCGAATGCGCAAAGCAGGGTGACGTGGTAGAGTGGGTTGCATCAGGGTAATAATGGCTCAGGTAGTAGCATGCATCAAAGTACTAGCAAAGGAATAATTTATAAAGCGCTAGCAGTTCTAGATGTTACGCAATGTCTAATAGGATTCTCTAAAAGAGGGTGCTGCCATGACACCTGTGATGTAGAGGTAGTAGTGGTACAATTCTCCATTCGTTGGCGTTCCATTAGCGGGGTCTCCTCCTCCTGTGTTGACTCCATTCCACAGTCCTTGTCGTCGTCCACGTTCTCTTGGTCCGATCGTCAGCTACTCCGCGAAGCGACACGCAAGGCAAGCGAGCACTCAACACTTGAAAAGACGATGAGTCACAGGAAATCCAATAACGCCATCTAGACAATAAGAGATACACGGCTTAGCCCTCTTGGTGGTTGTCCGATTTCCTCGGGCCAAAGAATCACAAGTGGTGGCTTGCTAAGAACAAGCTTAAGTCATGGCCAAGCTAGTATGGCTTTACGATAAACAGTTTAAGCCAGAGCTTATCCAGAGCAAACACCACGGCTCACGATCTTTCGATCCGGTGTCATTGGGTTGACGGGGATTGGAAATCGGGCCCCAAGAAAGAAGATCGACGGGGTTCGGCTCTTATAGCCTTATCCCGCAAGCCACAATTGGACACGGGTAGCAAACAAGAACGAATAACACTATTGTAACTTGGCTCCAATGTACTTTGGCTCACCCACTATGGTAGGAAGCGGTAGCGCAAAGAGGTTGGACAGCGACGGGTCCTCTCGATCCACCCGACACATCAACGTCTTCTGGAGCCAAGGAGGTAGTCGTTCAACACGGCAAAAAGCGGCCGAGGTTAGCTAGGCATGTCCATGTTATGTTCCCGAATCACATCTTCGGGAAAGATGGTTTTAGACGGTCGATCAATTAACACGCACGCAGGTCCAAGGTACAACATAGACCATAGCTTCGCTAACAAAAGGAATAGTCCGGTCTTTGTTCCAATCGTCACGGGCAAGACGGGATCGAACAGAGCTGCTATCGGGCAATAAGAGCAAGAACAACCAAGAGCAAGGTCTACTTCTAACGCACATGCCACGACAAAGACGAGGCATAGGAAGGAGCGACACTCAAGAACACCAAGTGCGTAAGCCACTCATAGGGTACCCAACCTGGGTGCGCTGGCACTAAGATATCTCTCGGATTCGAAGCGGTGCGGTTGTCACCGCGAGAATCAGAGAAACGTGATGGTCAAACGGGTACAAGCATACAAGGGCTTGAGTACGAAGAAGCAACTAAAAGCGAAAAGAGAGGCGTGGCTCCATGGTCATGGCGAGGTGAACTCACGACACACACGCTTATGCCAACGAAGTTGGCATTCATCGCTCCACGATTGTCTACTCCTAGGTTTTCTCCCACAGAACTTGGTCACGAAGGGCTCAAAATGTGCGGGTAATATCCGCATCGATATTGCCATCGATATTGAATCCATCACGTCCATGTTCTAGGGCCGAAGACAGAGCTAACGCTCATGGTACTCAAAGTCAACTAAAAGCGAGGGTCGAGTTACACTCGGCATCACGGTCACACGCGAGAGATGATCCCACGATCGTAACGTCCGAACGGGTACGATCCTCACCCCGGCTCGAAGGCTCGGCACACAGGCAACAACACCAACAACCAGCGATAAGAACCAAACACGACCGAAAGACGCAACAACTCGACACGACTGCAGAGTAGCACATTCCATAGCTAGGTGATAGGTGAATTCCTATAAGACAGTCATGGATAGATAGGTTGTAAGAATAGGACCCGACAAGGTAGATATGCGTATATGGAAAGATGCGAGATGGGGCTTTCTATGGTCTTGGTAAGACATACGACTAGGGTTCATGGCCCAGAGGGTACGGCTTGCGGTAGATGGGGTCATGGCAGTCTCGGCAAGCGAGGCCATGGTGGTCTCGGCCAGCGAGGCCATGGTGGTCTCGGCAATGGTGGTCTCAGCAACGGTGGTCTCGGCAACGGTGGTCTCAGCAATAGTGGTCTCGGCAACGGTGGTCTCGGCGATGGTGGTCTCGGCAACGGTGGTCTCGGCAACAGTGGTCTCGGCAACAGTGAAGTTGGTGAGATCGCGGGGGTGGTCGGAGAGATCACTGAAGTGGTCGGAAAGATCACCGTCGTGGTCGGAAGGCTGACCGAGGTGGTCGGAGTGGTCGTCGATGTGGTCGGAGAGATTGCCGAAGTGGTCGGAAGGGTTGTGGCTTCATCTGGCCAGCTGAGGCCAGCTACGGCCTGCTGTGGCCAGCTGTGGTTGGCTACAAGTGGCTATGGTTGGCCAAGGCTGGCTATGGCTAGCCAAGACATGGCCAAGGCTTGGTCGAATGATGGTTGTTGTTCATGGACTTAGCTCCAGTGGCTGTGGCGTTGGCTTGCACACGTGGCTCAGCGTAGGACTGCGCATGGGCATGTTAACGGACGCGGCGGTGTGGTCCCGAGGCTCACGCGACGTCATGCGAAGGCACGGCCGTGCGTCACCACATGCAAGTGAGCATGCATAAGTCCACGGCTCGTGGCGTGCGTCCATGAACGACGGGGCGAAGCAAGGCAGGAGCTCTTGGGATGGTGTGTGTGCGAGCACGAATGGCAGTGGTCAATTGTAGTGGCGGCAAGGCTCATGCCAAGCCACTGCGGTGCTTGCGTGTGAGTGCACGCGTGCCTGTGCGGCGAGCGGCCATAAAAGGCTCTGTCTTGGTCTTCGGCTGGCAAGGTGAGGGCAAGTGTCCCTGGCTGCAAGGCTCTAGGTCCGTGTGTGGGGGCTAGGCAAGTCCAAGGCACACCTACACGCCTCCCACATGGAAATGCGAGGGTTACGCTAGC